ATATGTAAAAAAAGATCCATCTTTTTTTTAAATATCTACTTACGATAAATGTTTAGCTAAAGTTAAGCAATATATTTTTCGTTTTAAACCGTTTAAAGAGCTTTGTTTGAATATTGTTGATTTTAATTTAAAACGGTCCGCAAACTCCACAAACCTCGCTTCTAGATTTTCATTTATTATTATGTCTGATAGCGATTCTTTATGAAACAGCAACGCGGTATATTCATATTTCATATATTATGACCGAGCACAGCGATTAGGCCACACCATTTCAATCTATCTCAGGATTAGTTCCACCTTATTGCCGACTTGAGAATTTTTATCACGGCTGAAGCAATCAGAGCGCTAATAATTTCCCTCATAATGACTCGGCGGTCGTAAAATTTGAGCATTGCGCCAAAATGGCGGAACATTAAAATTCCCTCCCCATCGTTATAATGGGAGTTATCGGTGGCCCGGGACATTCGGTATTACCATCTCAATCGGTTCCCGTTCGGTTTTCTTTTTAAATCGCGCATTAAGGATTTGGCGAGAAGGCGCGAAGGGGTCCCGTCGTGTGCGCCTCGGCTTTGACAATATTACAATGTGCGAGAGCGAAATCGAATTCTATTTTCAAAAACTTTAACTCGATCCATAAATAAAGACATTTCTAAACACTGTGCCTCGTAAGTTTTTAATCGCAAAAAAATACTAGTTCAACAAAATATGTTATGTGAACTATTCTTGCTGTAACTCGAAAATCTTTTATAAGTAGCTATTAATAATTCATCATTTTGCATTTTAAACCGTTATTTTGTTTTATTTAATGTATACAGAGTAAAGTTCTTTTCAATACATCATAAGCTGACCTAAGTGTATATGTCTAAAGTAAATGCATTATAGAATGTTGTAAACTAAAAACCTTATATCCATTCCCAGTGTAGGTAGATTAATATTTTTTTCAACTTAAGTAATACTAATCTAATTATTGACATTTGATTTTGTGATTAAAGTATTGAACATTGTCCTTTTTTACTTACAACGTTGTATGTATGTAGCAATTACTTACCCAACTGTCTAAAAACATTCAACAAACGAACTCCTGTGAAATATCGTGGTCCAAATCCCTCGGAGGATACCTACCGTACCTACCGACGCAGTACGTTCTCATCTGAATACACTCTTGTCCACGGAATATTTCACTGCAACTATGTCTCATATATGTAAAATAATGCGACCGATATATCTTAAGCCACCTCGGGGGGAGGCGACCCCCATTTCAATATAATCAATAACTCAGGAATCCCCTTTACATCCGCGCGTGTGACAGCCCAGAGGATCGAAGTGCTAGGGTTGTTTTTTGTTCAAACATTGCTTGATTAGAGCTCGCTTTTTGAACGGAATGTGTAATTCAATGCTGATCTAATAAGCTACCTCTTTGAGCTTTCTTGATGGCTTAACTCTTAACGATGTTTGTATATGAGACTGGTAAGGCAGAGAGGCCTAATAACAAAAAACATGGTTTTGAATAAGGAAATAAGCAAATAAAAATGCGCCATTAGCTTAGGTGAAAATGAATTTGTACTATTATTTGTGTAAGAATTATGTTAACAATTTTCGGTCACTGTGCTCTTTTAGATTAACATTTTTGGACTATGAAAATATTAATAACGCAAGTCATAAAATTACAGTTAGACTAGCGGCCTCACATGTATGTCTGTCTCTTAAGACACTTTATCCTCCTCGCATACGTAAACGTTATTTAACGACAGTTTAGGTCAAGCAGCGCACAGTATTGATTTATTAAAATCGTATAGTGAAATACCACTTTATCTTAAAAAGGTATAAGTAAACAGTAAGGAACGCTGTGGATGCCGGTTCGAATCCTGCCCTTGTCGTAAAGTTTTCAATCTAAGATCGATTTGAAATGTATGTGTAGGAGGTTAAGGCCGATTGTAACAACTGTTAGGTACTGAGTAGGTATATTTCTCTACTTGTGACTCTACTAGAACTGAACTTCGAAAATGGGGTGTTGGCGTTTACACGTAAGTACTGTCTATAGTTTACGCGAGTATTACACATTTAAATAAAACACTAACGGTTTAAAATGCGATATATTAGTTAAACTTATTTGAAAATGAGTCTGTCGATGTCTCCCCGTGACCGCGGCTGCTGCAAAGCATCCGAAACGTCGGGCCGAAGTTAAAAATCATTTTCAAATAAGTTTAACTAATATATCGCGTTTTAAACCGTTAAAGTGTTTTATTTAAGTGACTTATAAGTACTCTGTTGACTTTTTAAAATTAGTTTTTGCACCAGTATCAATTGAGCTTCTTAATACAAACTGGTCTAGAAAGTCAATTGAAAATTCAACAGTACGTATAAGTAAGCATCCAAGTATTGTATATAGCTTTGAAATAGTCGTTTAAAATTTCGATGAAAATTCGTTTCTATGTAAAATAATAAGACAGTGTTATCTAAATTGTTGTTGTGGTCTTAATAAAATAAAAAAAAAATAATAAGACCCACGTAGCTATGAGCACTTATATATTGTTAATTACAGACAAGTGCCCTGCCCGACTAAAACTATTTATTCTACTAAACTTTTAATTTATGATTTACTAAGACAGTACAAACACATAAGTGAAGTCTTAAGGCAAAATTGAAAATATCTTTAACATAATGTCGCTTCGACTAAGCGTGCCAATTCTTGAATAACCTTATGAAAAAACTTATACATGAAGATAGTTACATGATAGTTTGGTGTAAATTTCTTTTTAATTAGTTTATTAGTACCTAACTATCACCGAGTTAAACCTAGCATTATAATCTATGTCCAATTCAGATTACTATATGGAAAGTTTATTTTTTCGATATTGTTTTGGCCTATACATAGTAAACGGATTGAAACGAATTATTTCTTTCTAATACTCTTGTTTTAATTTTTAAACGGGTGGGGCTTGAACCCACTAACGGTGTTGTTAGAGCAAAACAATATATATTAAATCATAATTTGACTTCATTACTTTCAATTGATTTAAGTAAGGGTAATAGGTGTAACAAAGGTTTCTTTTAATTTCCCGGGTTCAATGTAGGAAGGGTAATTTCAGTGAGCGGTTTTCAGGTTATGAAAAATAAAACTCCAGTGTCTGATAAACTAACTTTGAGTTTATTTTTACCATTTACACTTGACAATGTATTTGCATTCTGTTGTTTGCTACGGGTGACATGCTACAGAGCGCGTAGACCGCTACACGTCTCAGTACAACCGAAACATGACCGAATCGCACGAAACTATCGTTACATCTGGAAAACAAAAAAAAAACAGACGAGTAACATCAAAACACATTTGCGAGATCACGCGTCACATTTAGTTTTACATTAAAATTTTCGATACAGATTACAATAGTAGGAACGGTATATTTTACTATTAAAGAATTTTTAAAATAATTTAGTATTACAATACAGTATAGGAACTATGATAGACACGCTACCTTTTTACGATCGTAAAACTTATTCTCGTAACCATTACATACCTAATGAAATTCTACACATTACTTTTGAGTGTAACAAATTATAATAGGATAGTGCAGTGGCTTAGAAACAAAATAAAACGCGCTACAACTGAAGAAACAACTCGGCCGTGGCGGCGACTAGCAGCGGATACGAGAGACTGACCCGAATCAATCTTAAATATTAAAATTCGTTCGGAAATCATAGGAAAGTAAACGCGCTTATATTGAAATATACATAGGAACCATGATTCATTCCGCGGGCTGTCGTCCGCGGAGACACAACATCGTTTGACCGACACGTCCACCTACGCTACTAACCAAACTCACTGCGTACTCAAAATAAATTCATTTGAAATCCTTCAAACGGCGACAACGTTACGCGACGGAGCTTGCAAACGGAACGCTCAACAAACTTCATTATTACCTTAATAAATACTATAATTAACACCGTCAAACAAAATAATAATGTTGTATAAACGCGCGCCTTCGCGTCCGCGGCGTCGCGTGCGCGCGTTGCGTCCGCCTCTGAACCTTATCGATGCTAGGTGATGCTTCACGTTATGCGGGAGCTGTCTCCGCAATATCTCTCTACCGTCTCCGCTAAAGTGGTTCGATATAGAATACGGAATGAAATTTGTGAAAGCTTAATGTAACCCCAGACGCCTCTGGGGAGGTGTAAAGCGATCAGAGGGAGACGCAACGCGAGCAAACTTCGCCCCATTGCACAATAGACATAACAAGGACCGGCTACCGGTGGAATAAAAGATTGCACTTCATAAAAAACAAACTCAATGTTGTAGTAGGATCCGCTCATCGATAAAATATTGTATTAGACTCCGCTAGATAAAATGTAAATATGTAAAATATTCTAATAACGTTCTGTGCCATCGAAAATATAAGGGACTCCACGCACACAGGAGGGCGGGACGCGCGCGCGCATCTTCGCCCTCGATCACTTACGCGACTACTAATAATCATTACAATATCAATAAAAATTCAAGAATCACACTTAGTTCCAAAATAAACTCACTTGTATGCGAGGTAGGCTGAGCGCTTACGCACAGCCCGAGTTTCGAGTTCGTTCGTTTTGGAAAAGTTCGCTACGATAATAATTATAATAATTAATTAACCGTTACCGATAAGCCTACGCGGTTCCGTCGCGTCTCCACGGGCGGCCTTCGAAGGTCCTTCGGGCGCCCTTCCGTCCGCCGAGCGAAGTGCGAACCTTCGTCGAAAGTTACCCTACGACAGCGGAAGGGTCGAGCGTCGGGTCGAGTTCGCGCCGAGGTGACCCGCGCGAGAGGACGACCGCTCTACCGCCTAACATATGTACTAACTTCGCCTCACGTTAAAAAATCATATATACGTATATATATCTTCATACATTTAAGATGCATCAGGAACTTCTTACGAGAACATATCTATGCCTAAAATTAGAACGATTATATGTATGTATTACATAGCTTTAAACAAATAATTAAATCGTAATTATCAATATCGATAATATTATATGCCATAAAGATAGGAACTTGCTTTCCTGGGAGACGATGTTAAAGAGTGCCGCGCCCGCTCGGTGGCGCTCGTCGCAACGATAAACGTATATATTAAAAGCTGTCTAACGTATGATATGAATGGCGGACTGCGCTGCGAGCGGGCCGCCGTCGCCGTCTCCCAGTGCACGGCGGCGGCGCTGGGCCGGCCTAGGGCTCCGGCGCTGCCCATCGCATCGCCCTCGCGGAGCCCCGCCGGCCCCTTAACCTACACTTACACTACAAGCTTTAAATGTTATAACTAGGAAACCGCTTTTGCGGCTGCCGTCAACGAAAAGAAGCATTAAGACCTAATAGTGAACTGATGCGTTGTCGGACAACGTGAGCGAGGGGCTCTTGTTAGTAACTATACATTTCATTCGGGTTTAGTGACCCGCGCTGGCCATGGGCATCTCGCCCGGCTGGGGGAATCGGGGCCCGGGCGCGCAGAAGTTCACGTTGGAATCCTTGGGCGCGTCTTGGGCGGCGCGCGCTGCCAGCAACGTTATCTGGTTGACCACATCTTCCATTTCGTGGGTGAGCGGTTCGGAAGTGGGGGGCTGGAGGGGGGATACGGCGTTTCGTATGTGGGCCTCTGTTTCTGCGTGGCGTCGGAAGTCCATAGCGTTGCGGAATCTTTCGCCCGGGCAGAACCTGCATTCTAGAGACGGCTGGACAACACGGATGACGCCACGGGATGTTTCTCTGCCGGCGTAGCACGAGCGAGATTGGTGGGCTTGCAGCGGCGCAGGAGATGGGAAGGCGACTTTGCAGTGCTTGCAGACGTAACAGAGATCGTAGTCGAGCTCCCTGGCGCCGATTGGTACGTCAGTAGTGGGGGGCGGGAGACGGAGGGTGGAGGCTCCAGGGTCCGCAGCGATGTGCCGGATCTGCTCCAGGGTGGTAGCGGGAAGCTGGAGCACGCTCGCTCCGTTGCCAGTTTCCACGATTAGGCCTTGTGGTTGTGGTTGAGGCGGCAAAGTATTTGGACTTGTTCCTGTAACAAGGGAAAAAATTACATATTAACATTTTTACTAGGTTTCGATTTGGGTTACACTTCATTGCAAAAGTATAATTCAGTAAAGTACATTTTCGTGCGTGTTTTTTTCTTAATAGAAGAGGAATGACGAGCATGGGGTTCCACCCGATAGCGGGTGAAATAATCCAGCCACGTAACATCTAAATTTGGATATTCGGAAATCCACAGACTGAGCCCGAAACGCGACTCAAACTTCACGTTAATTAAATACTGACTGTAGTTTACGTTAAAGTGTGTCATTTAAAACTTTAAAACGTCTTTTTCATCTATGGACGGTGATCCAGGTGGAATTTCGATATTTACTATTTATTTTATATTATTCGACTATTTAATATTCAGACTCCCATTTAAATAAAACGCTTTAACGGTTTAAAACGCGATATATTAGTTAAACTTATTTGAAAATTATTTTTAACTTCGGCCCGACCTTTCGGATGCTTTACAGCAGCCGTGGTCACGGGGAGACTAAAGATGGTAAATAAGTTTAACTAATATATCGCGTTTTAAACCGTTAAAGTGTTTCATTAAAATGTGTACTACTCGCGTAAACTATAGACAGTATTCCGATTCCCAAGCGAAGTGTAATATGTTTAAAAAAAATATAAATTGATTTGAACATGTTAGTACCGGTGGAGACCTCGACCCGTTGATTATTAGCCACATACTAATACAGTACCAACGAGCCAGTCACTATTTGATTTCTTTTTATGTAGATGCAACGTTAAGAATCATGAACGGATGATGGTAGCCGTTCGTCATTAAGAATTACTATCTGGTACCTCATCGTGAACCATCCGTAAGATGAAGTAAATTTCATCATTGATATGTATCTCACAATAAAAGCTAAGCCATCAATCGAACCCACTGCCCCTATATAGCCCTAATTTGGGTGTGCCATTGTTCCTTAGCACCAGCCACTGTTTACGCGAGATGATTTTAGATTCGCGATGCGGCTCTAACGAGCTTGCTTCAATAATTGATTAGGAGCTCTTCTTATGCGGCGTATATTCTAGAATGCATAATACATAGAGTTTGATACGATATCACGTTCAGCTGAGTACAAAACCGGTAAATAAAAGATTATTTATGTCTTTACTAGCTTTAACTTAACCTAATAACTAAGTTTGTCTATTAACGCGTAATATACATTTAAGGGACACTTTTCATGGTGTAAAAAGAATATATTAATGACGCCCCGCGACCACGACAGAACATTCGAAACGTCGCTGTAGTTCGCTGTACAGTATTTCACGTTCGCGTTATATTAAAAGTGATTTATTTAACATTTAAAAACAATATTACTTAAGTTCAAGTTAAAAGTTAATTTTAGAGAAAATTACTATTTAATATAAGAAAATAATTGGTTTTATAAAACACGACAAATGATTAATTTAGAGTATTTGGCGAATGTATTTTTTTTTATTATATATCATAAAACTATTTTTTTTAAATATAAACAAAGATCTATTCTTCGTAACTGTACGAAATAAATAAAGAATTTTTTTCGTAAGTAAAGTATAATTTACATCCATTGAAAGTTTTTAGACGTAAAGAACGTCCATATACATCTTTGTTATTATTTCAGTAGTTTTAATTACAAGTATATTTTGTATACGTTGCCTCACTTGTAGACAGTTTTCCCAGTTGCGTGCACGTATGTCTAGATGCATAGACAATTTCAATGATCGACTATTCTGGCGCCGCTGTTTCATATTCCTTTGCAATTTACTATGGAAGGATCTATTTGAATAATAACGTACGAAACAGAGCGTAGCTTCGGTTCCCAATCAACTTGATTGGATCGAATTATAGCAATGTGTGTTAAGGCATTTTAAGGAAGGTTTATGAATGTCTCTACCAATTTTTTACTTCAAGAATTTAAACCAAAAAATTACTTTTAAAAATTAAATCAACTAAACATACTTTGTTCTTAGTTTACGCGAGTATTTAATAAGACACTTTTAACGGTTTAAAATGCGAAATATATTAGTTAACTTATTATTTTTTAAATTTATTTACGGACTGACATTTCGGATGCACTGCAGCCTAATTAATTTTTTTTTTTTATATAATCATAGAGAGAGTTATTTGTCTAGACTTCTTCCGGGACACTTTTTCATTCGTAGCTTTTCTTGTAAACCCACTACGTATCTACTAACTATATATTTTACGACGACAATGATTTAAATGCTGGTGAAAAATGACATATCTATACTAATATTAAACCACTAAGATCTTAGGATCTACTTCAATTCTTTCAATGTCATGTAGACCTTCATCAAGAAAGGCTTTATATAACATCACGCAGCACGAATTTATAAATCTGAAGATTTTACGAAAATAAATGTTGTCGTCCAAAATACGGATGAAGTCACGGGCGAAGCTAGTAGTAAATAAAGAAAATCATCATTAGATTTACGACTATAACCAGTCATATTGACTCTATTAACCGTGACACAAAAGCCGCTTCTACACGCGGCCCTGACGTTAATTCGCAACCCTTTCTGCCAATTAGTTTCAAAATATCCACACTATTGTGCCGCCGACACCGCGTACCGTAGCATTTAAGGACCTAATACAGGAATTGGAAAATAAGCCCTATGTTTGATCATTAAGGTGTAAATTCGATAGTAAAACTACCGACAGGTTAGTCATTTCAGCGGGTGCACAGTGGGTTTAAGTCAAAGGGCTTCTTAATCCGGACTTGTAGGTCGTTACGCGTTATTATAACGCGAACCGAGTCGGCTACTTCTTCGCTCATTTACATCTCATTATGGTTGCTATTATTGGAGTTGTGGGCGGAATATTCTTTGTATTGACAATTAAAGCTAGGTATTTATTTCTTTTGATACATTCTTTCAGGGATGTTCTTTTTCTAAAAGTGATGTCCTGATGGATTTGGGGTTAACAGATAATGTGTATGCCAGAAATAGGATGTCTTTGCGCCTTAGTTGAATCCTATCTATTTTTTCCCATTTGAACTCAGGTCAAAGTTTTATTAAATAACTTTAGAAAGATTTATATTTTGCAATATTAAAGTTTGACTAAAAATAAGGATTTAAACAATGTTATATTAAAGACATTTTTAATGTCTGTCTGTCTCTTTGAGTTGTCCCGATGTAAAAGCAATGTGTTACACCTAATACATATAACTAGATATGATTAAATAAGCTTCCTGCATATTTGTTGTAGTTATCAGAAACTCGTTCTATACCCATGAATAAAACACTTTTAACGGTTTAAGACGCGGACGTTATATTAATTATAATTAGTTTTAATTCCAACCCGATGCCTTCGATGCTATACAGGTCATCGTGATCATGGTTGCCTAATTAACGGATATTTACAGACTGCGAATTGTAAATTTTTTTAAGTTTATTATTTTTTCAGCGTTGTAGATGTATACAGCAACAGTACCTCCGTGGCCATGACTACCTAAACTATACAATATAAAAGGTACGTTTTTTTATCACTTCGTTTGTGTTCTATTGGACCGCTCGTCACTTGTTTGTTCTGTATCGATGTGATTTAATCTTAGTTCAGGGGCCACTATAGTTTGACCAATTACTCGCCGTAACTGGACGGACGCGATGTAGATCCGTCCTTCACAATGATTGATGGTAATTAAAGTGGGTCTCAAACTGGGATTCGCTTTGGGACAGTTTGCATCGTTTAAGGACGTCGTCTGCCGTATTAGGCGATTCAATGATTGTTAGGAAGATTGCTTACCATAAGGGCCATTTCATACATAAATTAGGCACATATTTTTAAACGACGTTCTTTTCAGCTTGATTTTTTATGGTAGCTACTTGATGGAAGGTTATACCCATATACCATCTACGCTGACATATTTGTATTCTTAAACTTCACCTCATCATGACCAACTGACCTATCTATACTAATATTATAGAGCTGAAGAGTTTGTTTGTTTGTCCGCGCTATAGTCGGGAACCTATTGCTTCGAACTGAAAAATTCTTCTCGTTTTTACCCATAAAAGGAACACTTTAGCCTATAGAGCGAAGAAACAGTGGGAAAGGTGGAAAAAAATGGGAAAAACCATTCATCTCTTGAAGTTGCTTGCGCTTTGCGAAAACAATTTAAGATACCCAAAAAATATGTATGAACGAATGATCTAAAAAAATGTTGGCGACGTATGTCTATCTTTTAAGATTAACTTGCTAGAACGACGGGACGCGACCGACGTCGTAGGTAACAGCTATTATAGATGAGGAGGTTTGGAAAAATAACTATTCCTCGGGGACGATGTCGCGAGCACAGCTAGTGTATAACAGTGACTCACCCGCGATGCAGTAATGACGTAAGTGAGAATAGTATTAGCTTACGTCGCCTACGCCTGTAATAAGTTTAAGATTGTGCATAATAAAACGTTTAGGCATGAATGAACAGCACGCTAGGAAACCCTTGGTGTCAGGTGTTCGACGGTAACTCAGTATGCGTGTAAGCACCGTAATCCTTTGCCTAACCGCGTTTTAATCCCATTTGCATATAAAATGTTTCGGCTTTGTTCGTACTGTGGAAGCGAAACGAAGGACGTGTTTTTATTTATTCGCTTTAACATTTAAAATGTATTTTAGAGTTAAATTGTCACAGTGCGGTACACTGTTTATGGTTCGAATTCCAGCGTATCATAGTTTATTAAAAACACTTTTATCAGTAAAACGCCTTTGTCATTTGAGCATTTCACTCCCCGACTGTTGCAAAGCATTTGAAACGTTAAGTCCTATTTTAAAAAAAGTTAACCAATATATTTATTGTAAAATTAGCGTATTAAACCGTTAAAATTTATGTTGTATTTAAACGTATACTACTCTAATAAACTGCAGATAAAACTTTTTTGTTAAATCATTACTATTTCATGGGTTTTCATTTACAATATTACAAACTTTTACTGGTATCTACAGTGGTAATAATAAAATAAAATAAATGTATTCTTGTTTAGGAATACATATTTCTTACTTTGTTAAGAAATACATATTAAAATATTTTAGTACTAAATTCTTTTATTGTTTAACAACACATTTTGATCCTCTGTGGCCACCGCAAAGCATCTAAAGTGTTAGGTCGTAATCAAAATAAATAAAAATAAGTGTAGTAAAAAGCGTTTTTAACTTTTAAGATGTTTAAATAAATTTCAATTTATAATATTATAGTATTTACAAGACTATTGACTTTAATAGGTTGAGACACATTGTAACTAATTCAAAAGTTATTAAAAATTGGGCTTATTTTATATATATAATTTTAGGTTATAAAAGTGCTTTAAGATTCAATGAAATCAATGTGGATTGTAAAGTGAAAGAACTCAATTCATAAGTACATCTCGAAAGTTATGAACGGCGCGAGGAAAAATGCATAATCGCCATTCCTTCCCTGTAGCAATTTTAACGGCCATTAACCAATAATTCCATCGAATTTTATATCCATCACGGCAACGCCATCCATTTACTCAGCTTCCTCGCTCCCTGCGGAAATCTCACCGCATTCAAATATTTAATTACTTCGGCTCTCGATCATTTATAAACTCGCGCCGGAGTGCTATCATAAAACGCGCTAATGCCTTATAATTAAAATATTCTCAACAAGCCGTGGCGTAATGGCACCTCCGGCGACCGTCTCCGATGGAGAAAAAAACGCATAAAAAATTACATTCACCCCAGAGGACTCACCCCTTGTGTCGGGAAAATCGATTAAAAAGAGGAGTCGCGGGGCGAGGTGGCGGGGCGTGGGGGGGAGTTTAATATGTACGAAAAAATGCACGACGCCGCGGGAGCGAGGGAGAGGTCCCAAGGAACCCCGTCTTCAATTTTTATAATTACGTTCATACGTGAGCGCCGGGAGACGGCTTCGACTCAGTTTATTTACACGAATATACAAGATGCTTACATGCTCAAAGTATAGCTGTATTTTAGAACGACTACTACTTACTACTACTACCTACAATACTAAGACTAAGAATGAAAACTCCTGAATACTGTCTGTAGTTTACGTGAGTTTAGGTATAACAATTTAACGGTTTAAAACGGGAACAAAGTAATGAGTAGTAAGTAAAAAGTCACGGGAAGACCACGGCTGCTGCAACGCATCCGAAACGTCGGGCCGTAGTTAAAATCAGTTTAACCAATATATTTCACGTTTTAAATATTAAAATCTCTTCTTTAAAAGTAACAACTGCTGTTAAACATTGTACATCCTATTAAACAAGACAAGATTTAGTTAAGTTACAGCTTATAGAATATAGGAGACAATGTCATAAAGTAACTGAATGTAAGTTAAATACTTACGGCCTATTTACATTCATGACAATATGAGAAAAATTTTCGCCAAAATCAATTTCCATTCGCGCGAGTACTTGAAACTTTTCCACAGAGTCGGCAATCAGTGAAGAAAGAGGCAATAAGGGGGGGATAACCGAGGGACGTTATCTCAGGAGACGGTTTGCAAATGAGCGGGCACGCACACACGCTAATCTCGTCCACACACGTCACGAGTGCGTACATTTTATAAATAGATATCGCTTTTTTTATCCGGGTAAGAATGGGGGGCCGCCACCCGGCGGGGCGGACCCCCGCGGGGGACGTGTTGGATTTCAGATTGCTACGAACTGCAAAAATGAGGGATGAAAGAAATATAGCTTAAAACGCAGATATTTCCCGTCTTAAGGCGCTGTGGGGGAGTGAGGCGGTGTGTGTG